GGTTTGAAATTTACTTTGTCTGCAAATAAGATTGCTACCCCTGTTTTTTTCTGAGCTCCTGTCATATGGAGAATTGTTTTCTGTCTTTTCACTTTCAGGCTATGGGCTTCTTTTTTGCACTAGGTGTGTTTCTTGTATACAACATATTATTGGATTTTGCTTCTTATTCCATTTTGTCAGTCTATTTCTCTTGATTGGTGAGTTGAGGCCATTGACCTTGCTGGTTATAACTGATATGTACTGACTTATTATTGACATGTTATTGGCCTTTGGTTGACTCTTTTTACTTTTTTCACCTCCTTTTAATTTCTTGCCTTGCCTATTTGATTTGCTCTGTTGGGCATCATGGTGTTGTTGCCTTCATTGTCTTTTTCTAGGATCTTGTTTAGAATTGCTTGTAGTGCTGGTTTGGTATTCATGTAGTTTCTCAGGTGTTCTTTGTCGTGGAAGTGTCTTATTTCCCCATCCATTTTGAAAGAGAGTTTTGCTGGATACATCAGTCTAGGTTGGAGGTTGTTCTCTTTTAGTACTTGAAATATCTCATTCCAGGCTCTCCTTGCCCCAAGAGTTTGTGTTGAAAAGTCTGCTGTGATTCTGATGGGCTTTCCTTTGTATGTGATTTGTTTCTTTTCTCTTACTGCTTGTAGTATTTTGTTCTTCTGTTGGGTTTCTGGGATCTTGATTATTATATGTCTAGGTGTAGATTTTTTTTGATTGTAGCTAGTTGGGGTCCTATATGCCTCAGTTATCTGAATGTCAAATTCTTCCCCTCTGTTTGGGAAGTTTTCTGTCATTAATTCTGCAAACAGCTTTTTTAAGTCATTTGTATTTTCTCCTGCTACTTCATGTATTCCTATCAGTCTTATGTTATTCTTCTTTGCATCATCTAGGAGTTGTTGGATCGATTTCTCATGATCTCTTACTGTTTTTAAGAGACCTCTCTTTTCATGGTCACTGACTGCAATCTTATCTTCTATATCTGAGAGCCTATCTTCACATTCTTTTATTCTGTTGCATACACTTTCAATAGAGTGTTTAATCTCCTGGATATCTGTTTGAATCTGTTTTATGGATTCCATTTCTTTCCTATGTTGGGCGTTTATTTTTTCCATTTCTTTCTTATGCTGGGCCTTCATGGCTTCTATCATGGTCCTGAGCTCATCTATTTTTTTGTCAGTTTCTGCTCTAGAGTCTCGAATCACGACTTCCATTTTGCTCACTATCTCTATGGTTATCTGGGAAATTATTTCTGTTTTGAATTTTTCTAGAGCCTGATTGATCTGTTTTGTTACTTCCTGTGCTTTGAGTTCAGGGTGTCCTGGTGGTTCACTATCGGCCTTTTCATCCTCATTTGCCCTACTGTTTGCCATTGGTGAACTGGAAGTCTGTCCTTGTGTCTTGCTTAAGTGTTTTCTCATTTTAATTTTTGTTGTCGGACTGTCCTTGGTTTAATCTCTGGATTATCACCCAAATCTTCCTGATATAGTTGCACCCTAGCTTCTGTGTCTCTAACGACCCACAGACATTCTCATCTTCATAACATCAGAGAAAACAGCTCATCAAATCAACGGCAATGCTTTACCCCAACTGATACAATCAGCAACACATTAAGATCAAGCACAACTTGGACACTGACCACCTGTGGTAGTCACTAGTCTATCACCCTTAAATCATTTGAATTAAATTGAAATCAAGAAGCAGTCCAGAACATGTCTGCAGTGAACAAACTTTTCAATATAGTATATTTACCATTTAATGGCTCAGACAGAGCGAGGATGCAAGACCCCTGATCTCAGTTAGCTGATTGCTGAACCCCATGACGCTGACTGACCTCGGGCTGCAAGGCCCAGATTGAGTTCCCCATCCTTCTGAATGGTTGAACTCCGCAATGTTCTATCACAGGTTTCCCACGCCCTTTCTTTAAAGATGTTCAAAGTTGGGAACTCAGAAAAATACCCTTGATGACCACCTCTGTCTTTGCAGAGTGGGTCCAAAGACTTGCACAGTCAGGAGGTCTGAGAGTGCGGGGGTGGGGATTATGGGGGTTCAGGGGCGTCTGTGCGGCGCTTGAGCGATGACTGCTGGGTCGGGAGCAGGCGTGGTTCTCGAGAGTCTTTCCAAATGTAGTTGTTACTGTGTTTCAGCACATGACTGCTCAGGCAGAGTATGTAAAAGAAAACTGAAGAGTTCTGGGAAACCCCAGCCTTTAAGGACAGAAAGGAAGCCTGAGTACCAGGCAAGAGTAAAACCTGCAGAGAAAAAAGAAAGAGGATGCAGCAGTGGCATGTTATCAGAATTTCTTCATGAAAAAGTAAAATAAAATTGAAGAGGTTTTCTCAAGATTTGTAATCACTGATATTAAATAGAAGTGGAAGCCAGGCATGATGGTGCACACCTGTAATCCCAGCATTCACGAGGCTGAAGCAGGTGGATCACTGTGAGTCTGAGGCCAGCCTGGGCTACATAGTGAGTTCAAAGCCATCCTGAACTGCATGGTGAGCCTCTGTCTCAAACAACAGTGAAAATGTTTGCCGTATTAGACAATATCAAGGCATTTTCTCACTGTTAAAGAAACTATGACTATTTGGCATTGTGATTTATTAGCTTCTGCTGTGTGCAGATTTTGGTGTTTTATTATTGTTTTTTGGATGTTTGAAATCAGAGTTTAGCTTTACAGAATTTATTTCAGTACTTGATGCAGTGCTTGATGTAGCCACATTTTGGGAAGATGATGAAACACCACAATGTTTAATCATTGTGAATTTATGAGTGTGAATATTGATTTATGAGGGCCTAAAAATACATGTTTTTTACATTCCACTAGATGAATAGCCATCCACAGTAAGGACACATGAAGTTGTGACATCATAACAAATATTGGCTAATTGTCTCATTCCAGAAGTGGAGGCTGAGACGCAGAAATACATGTTTTTTACATTCCACTAGATGAATAGCCATCCACAGTAAGGACACATGAAGTTGTGACATCATAACAAATATTGGCTAATTGTCTGATTCCAGAAGTGGAGGCTGAGACTTAGTCTTATTAAAGGTTTGTAGTATGAATAAGAAAGCTTATGGCCAAGCATGCTTTTTTTCTTGTTCTTTGTCTCCCCTCAGATACTCAAGGTAGAAGTTGAGGGCATCATAATGTAGTGGGAAAATGCAGGCTTTGGTTTCAACACACTCCCTTCCAGTTCCTCCACTTCTAGTTTGGTGATCTTGAATAACAGTGCAGTAATTGACAATGGCAATAAGAGAAGTTAATATCCCATTATGGTTTGTGTTTAGGTGTTCCCCCAAAGCCTTGTGCAGAAGAGGTGGGACCTTTTTCAGAGTAGTTGAATCTGGAATGTGTGATGCAGGGGTTAAGGGTGTGTGAATACTAAACTACTACACCTGAGTGATTAGTTTGGCGTGGCCCTAATCCCAGTAGTCTGAATAAGATAACAAGGGGGCAGAAAGATGCTGTTCAACTCCCTCTTGTTTCCTTTGCTACTTTGTGTGCACCATGTTGTTTCTCCTCTGTGATGCCTGTTTGCCAATCCCTGTCTTGGAGCCAGGCAACTATGGACTAAAACCTCTACAAACTGTAAGCCAAATAAACCCCTTCTCTAACTTTGGGTGCTGGGTATTTTGTCTCCACAAGAGAAAAGTAACTAACACATATGCCTTATAGTATTTACTCAGTGCCCAGGTTCTCTACCAAGTGCGTTACATGCATTATCTTTCTTAGTGCCTGCAACAATTACTACTATTATTTCTACTTTTAGATAGAAAGACCTGAGGCTCTGTGTGTTTTGGACTTTGAACAAGACCCAGTGGCCAATAAGTGGTGGAATCCAGGCCCTGCCACTCAACAGTAAGGCTTTTAATGCACGTCAACCATTCTGTACATCCCTCTCCCTCAGCTTTCCCCCCTCCTCCCCACCATCTCTCCCTCTCCCTCTCTTTCTCTTTTTATTGGGGATTTTTTTTGAACTCAGCTACATTCATAGCCCCCCCTTTTATTTAGGGTACCAGGGATCGAACTCAGGACCTTGCGCTTGTGAAGCAGGTGCAGTGCCACTGAGCTAAGTCCCTGGACCATTCCTAGCCCTTTTAATTTATTTATTTTTTAATTTGAAATGGGTCTTGCTAAATTGCTAAATTAGCCAGGTGGACTCAAATTTGTACTCCTGCCTCAGGATCTCAAAGTGCTGAGATCACAGGCAGGCACCACCACACCCAGTTGATGTCTTCCTTTTTGTGTTTAACAGCATTTTTCAGAAATCACTCTGGAACCATGTACTCAGTTTTCTCATTGCCTTTTACAACCACAGAAATTCTGTTGTGAAAATATATCAAAATTATTTATACGGTCATTTCAGCCTTGCTCTTAGATTGTAGTGGGGAGTGTTTTATTTTTGTTGATAGATTTTATTTGCAAATCAGAGTTTAAAGCAAGCTAAACTGACATACTATTTTCCATTAACTATGTTCCATGCATAGCCGAAAGAAGAGTGTTAGAGTAAAAAGCTTTGTGGATGTTTATGTTAGCAGTCTTGCCAGTTTGTCTTTGTGGCAGATTCTTAGAAGTGGAATCACTAGGTCAGAGGTTAAATACATTTCAGTTTTGCTAGATGCAGTAGTTTCCTCTTATCCTCCAGGGGTATGTTCCAAGTCCCCCAGTGGATGTTTTGAAATACAGATAGTACCAAACCTTACCTATACCTATGATAAAATTTAATTTATAAATTAGACAGAAAGAGATTAAAATAGGAAAATTATACCATACTGTGATGAAATTATCTAGAGTTTGTGAATTCTTTATTTCTAGAAATTTCCATTTAATATTTTTGGACCTTCACTAATCCGTACATTGTAAAACCTTTGTCTTTTTGACATTTAATAGTGAGAAATAACACTTGTGCAGTTTTAGTTTGCATCTCTCATCATGAGCTGGCTTGATCTCTTTTGATTTTGTTTATGGAGTATTTGTTTTTCTTTTTCTGTGATTGTCTCTTCTTTTGCCCATTTTCATAGAGATATAGATACTTTTTCCTTTATATTAGCAATATTGTCCATAATATTTGAGGAACTTTTTTGCAGTTTATCATTAGTCTTTTTTTTTTCTGATTATATTATTTGCTATATAAAGTATTTCTTCTGATATAGACAGTTTTGTTTTTCTTTATTGCCTCATGGTTTTGAGTCATAGTTTCAAAAATGTTCTTACTTCCAGGTTGAAGAACAATATCATCTAGTAGAAATATAATGTAAACCACCTATGTGAATTTTTAGTAGTTACATTTTTAAAAAGTGAAATTAATTTTAATACATTTAACCCAAGTATCAAAAATAGTTTTAATAAACAATCATTACGTAAAATTATGGAGATATTTTGTATTCTTTTTTATACTATATTTTAAAGAACTTTAAGGCATCTCAATTTGGTCACTAAACTTTTATTATAAATATTTGATTTGTATTTAGATTTCACAGATTTACATTTGCAAAAAGTAAATTCACATGACCAAGTTGTTCCTTAAAAATTTTCCAATAACTGAATCGAGTATCAGTTTTTGAGTTTCACTTTGTTAGTTGAAACTAAAAATGATGTTCATCTCTTCAGTCATGTTAGCCACATCTTAAGTACTCAGTCACCGTGTAGACGTAGTGACTGCCTTTCCGGAGAACATAGTTATGTGGAGGATGAGTCATTCACATTTTCTTTTAGTATTCATGTGCTTTTATCATTAACAAAATTAAATCTATGAATTTATTTTGATAGTATGGGGAATGGGTCCATTTTTGTGTTTCTGCCACATAAGTTATGTGGGTATCACAAAGTCTATCTTTATCGACTGATGCAACTATTTTTTTGCTTTTTTTGGTACCAGGGATCCAACTCATGACCTTATACTTGAGAGGCAGATGCAGTGCCACTGAGCTAAATCCCTGGCCCTGTACTGACTGATTTGAGATTAAAGAATTAATTTCCATAAGTAATCAGCTGTATTTCCTGTATTTCTGCATTTTCTATTTAATTCAGCCCCTTCATGCTCCAGGACCCTACTCTTTTAATTACAAAAGATGAATAATATCTTTTAATACTAAAACCATTGATGGTGAGATACTGTGCCACATCTCCCAGATGGGCATATTTGTTTATATCAAATGCTAGGCAAGGCCATGGACCAAAGGAAATATGCGCACACCACTGAGGGCACTATAAATTGGTGCATTGAGGCGTGGAATACGTTGTGAAATGGCCTCCCGATTCCCATAGCCATCAGGGTAGCAAAGGTAGGTAGCAAGGTTGGAGTGAGAGTAGTTTTGCTGAGTAGCTTCAGTTTGTCATGTCAGTGTTACCATTTTTATATAAGTTGGGTTGTGCATAGGCTGGGAAGCGCTGTGTTAGAGAAGCTCTTACACACGTGCAAGAGTGCACCAAACACTGTTCATAGTAGCGAAGCACTCGGAACAGCCCTCATGCCTATCACCAGAATATTGAACAAGGGGTTGTGGCACATTTCTGCTGAACGGTAGCAGGGATGACCTACAGGTATGTGTGTCACACTGTGTTCTTTGACCTTGCCTTTCAGCTCAGCATTGCACTTTTGAGGTTCATAATGTCAAGTGGAAATGCTGCATTAAAGCAATATATTGTGTAAGGGTGGATTCATTCATATGTGGGAAGACTATTCAGAAAAGCAAGGGGATGATTAAAGTGCAAGAGGATCATTTATACTTCTGCACTGAAGGCTGAGTTGCTCTTGGTATACATACAAAACTTCAGGGGTCCTTGTGATGATCTGTAGGTAGGTATGTGAATGTTCATTTTGCTTTTATGTACAAAATTATATATCTGTCTGTAGTAATTTCATAACAGAAGAAACAAAGCCAGTGGTAACAAAAATGTAGACACAGGCATAAGCTAGCCAAAACTCAAATAATTAAATTGATGGTTGAGAAGAATCCCTGTCAGGTATGAGATATTTGGCTTTTTTGTTTGTTTCTTTCTTTTTTGGTGGCAATACATTTTTAATTGTATGAAATATTAAAGATAGAAATTTGCTTTTAAAGTTGAGTCAAACAGCAAGAAACATATTATTATATTAGTGTACACATATCATTGACTGTTACATCACCCAGAACAACAATGAGTAGTGTTCTTTGACAGTAATTTTATTGGTACCACTTGTGCAAAATATCATCTTGGCCAATTTTATGTTTTATTCAGAAATATATTTTTGAAGCAAGCTTTTACAAGTATAATTATATGTCCAATGTAATGTACATTGATGTATTTAATCTTCAAAGCAGTCTTATAAAGAGATCAGGTTTCCCTTTTACATATTAATAAACTGATACTCAGAGAGGGTAAAGCAGCTTGTCCAGAGTCATACAAGAAATGTGTGATAGGATTTCATTGGAGGTGTTTTACTCCCCACTTTTTTCTTTCTTTTAAAAATTATGGTGCTGGGGATTGAATCCGGGAACTTATGTATGCTACGAAAGTTCTGTACCACTGAGCTAATGCAGGTTTATCTGGCCCCACAGGGTATAGTCATGATTTCTCTTCCCAAGTACTGTATCTTGTTGAGAACTTCAGGTGCTGATCTATTCTTCTATCAGTGGAGGTCCATCCCTGAAAGTGTTTCTGCTCTTCTCCTGAAGGGTCAGAGAGGGAAATCTTTGACCATATTAGCACAATTCTTCATGGTGCCTAAGTCATTTTTTTTTTTTTTTGATGGGCTCATGCCATGTTCCAGTCTGGCTTCAGATTCACTGTGTAGCCCAGGCTGGCCTTAAACTCCAGATTCTCCTGACTCTGCTTTTAGAGTGCTGGGATTACAGGTATATGGCACCACATCTGGTTTTCTCAGTGATTTTTTTTCTTTTTTCTTTTTCATTAGTACATGTGTGCAGTATATAATGGCTATGATACAAGATCTTACCATGTTCCCCAGGCTGGTCTTTAACTCACTATGTAGCCCAGCTGGTCTTGAACACACAATCCTCCTACCTCAGTCTCCAAAAGCTGAGATTTCAGGTATAGAACACTATGTTAATGAATTTTTAACCTCTGTTTTAAGCTTTCTTCTCTTTAGTATCATAAGCAGTTATTCCCTACTGCTCTGACTTCTATGTCCTTGCTGGCATTAAAGAATTTGGTACACTTAATGGTGGGAAACCTGTCTGGTATCTTTGTGTTCTAATGTTTTCCTAGCTTTATATCCTTAAGATTACTGTAAACTCCAAAATCTCTCTTGGGTTTGCCTGTGCAAAACCTTTGTAGCCCATTTTGTCTTATTGCATTAAGATTCTACGTGTGGCCAGGCACGGTAGTACAGGCCTGCAGTCCCAGCTACTTGGGAAACAAGAGGATCACAAGTTCAAGACTATCTTCATAGAAAATAAAAAGGACTGGTTGAGTGAGGCCATGGGTTTAATTCCCTCCACTGTAAACCAAAACAAACGCAAGCCTTCAGATAATATGTATCTATTTCTCCAGCTTGTCAAACCACCCCCCCTTTTTTTTTGAACCTTGGATTTCAAAGGATAACATATGGATCCTAAGTTGTAACAGAAAATTAGATTTATTTGCTGGTCTTTCATCTATGTCATTATTTAGCAGATTTTTATTTTTTTTTTGTATTTATTTGTTTGTTTATTTATTTATTGGCTTTTTGAGACAGGGTCTCACTATGTAGTTGAGATTGACCTGGAACTCACTATGCAGTCCAGGCTGGTCTCGAACTCATAGCAATCCTCCTGCCTCAGCCTCCCAAGTGCTGGGATTACAGGTGTGAGCCACCATGCCCGGGCATTTAGCAGATTTTTAAATCGGATTTAACACAAGTAATTGTTACTATG